TTAAACAGTTTTATTGAGGCATAATTGATATTTTTAAAATTGCACATATTTTATGTATGCAGTTTGACGAGTTTGGATATATGCATATACCTGTGAAACCATCAACACAATCAAGGTTATACACATATCCATCACCTCTACAAGTTTCCTGTGCCTTTTGGGTGTTTTGGTTTTTGTTTTGCTGTTTTGTAAGAACACATCAAATGTGATCTAGCCTTCTAACAAAATTTTAGGTGCACAATACAGTATTGTTAACATAGAACTATGTTGTACAACAGATTTCTAGAACTTAACTCACCTTGCATAACTAAAATTTTATACCCTTTGAACAACTCACCATTTTCACCTACCCCCCAGCCCCTGGCAATCACCATTCTCTGCCTTTATGATTTGGATGAATTTGACTATTTGTTCTTCTTGTGACTGGCATATTTCACTTAGCATGTCTTCAAGGTTCATCATGTTGTCATAAATGTCAAGATTTCCTTCTTTGTTAAGGTTTAATAATAGTCCATTGTATAAATATACCACATTTTCTTTATTCATTCATCTCTTGATGGACATTTTGAGTTGTTTCTATATCTTCGCTATTTGTGAATAATGCTGCAATGAACATGGAAGTGCAGATATTTCTTCAAGATACCAATTTCAGTTCCTTTGAATATATGCCGAGTAGTGAGATTGCTGGGTTATATGGTAGTTCAATCTTTTTATTTTGGGGGGGGGATTTCCATAACAGTTGTACCACTTCACATTCCCATCAACCGTGTACAAGGGTTCCAACTCCTTTATATCTTCACCAATACTTAGTGTCTTTATGTGAGGTGATATCTCAATGTGATTTTGACTTGCATTTCTGTGATAATTAATGATGTTGAGCATCTTTTCATATACTTGTTGGCCATTTATATGTCTTCTTTGGAGAAATATGTGTTCATGTCCTTTGTGCATTGTATAATCATAGTTTTAGGGTTTTGTGTTTTGTTGTTGAGCTGTAGGAGGTTTTTATATGTTTTGGGTATTAGCTCCTTATCAGATATATGTTCTGCAAATATTTCCTCTTATTCCTTGGATTGCCTTTTCACTTTTAAGATGTGGTAGAAATTAAACATCTTTAAGATGTAGCAATTAGATGTAGTTAGCTATATTACACAAAAGGCCTCTATCAAAATAAAATTTGCATGAAGGACTAATAACTTGTTATTGGTTTAAGTACGTAAGACCCAATTATTTCCAGGTCCAAAGCACATCCCTTCCTTAGGTAAAGTTGAAAAGACACAGATTGAGACGGTTTGGATAACCTCCAACTGTTGTTCAAATAGGCAATAGAAATAGGGATTGAACAATAAATCATATATCTCCCTGACTCTTGTGAAATTTTCTCAACACGTTAACTAATGTAATGAATAATTTTGAATTATGGCTTAAGGTCTGTGACAATATGGCCTCAAGTTGAATAGTATTTCTGCTTCAAGAACATTCATGATAATGAAAAAGTCATAGAAAATATCTGTGCTTAGGGTATGGGGACTTTAGGAATCCAAATCACAATCGCAGAAACAATTTTTTATAAATGAATTTCTTTAAGTCCCTTTTGATCCAACAAGGAGAGGTGTAACTTCAAGCCTCATGTCATAGGCTCATTTTATATGGGCAAATTCTGAATTGTTTAAGATAAATAGTAATTAACAGATAAGGGATTTTTAGCAGAAATCACATTTGTAAGGTAAAATGATTCATAAAACAAACTGATATATACTGGCTTGCTTAGATTTCAAATTCCTTTTGAATGTTCTAAACAGCTACAGAGGACTGAACGTTCTTATTCAATCCCATTTGGGGCATAAATCTTTCATTTCATTATATACAAAATCTGTGAGATGACCCTTCATATGGATATTAATTCTCACTTTATCTTCATTTCTATTCCCCCAAAGAATTCCAGGCATTGAGTTAAGGAGAAATTCTAATATTAATAAACTAGATAAGAATTAAAGAATTATACTCCATTTTAGTGGGTAAAGATAAAAAAACTATGTTTTGAAATATATGTGGCTTAAATTAAGATTAAATGAAAAATATTAAATTTTATTTTATTTTTTTGCGGTTATGTGGGCCTCTCACTGCTGTGGCCTCTCCCGCTCCGGACACGCAGGCTCAGTGGCCATGGCTCACGGGCCGAGCCTCTCCGCGGCATGTGGGATCTTTCCGAACCAGGGCACGAACCCATGTCCCCTTCATCGGCAGGTGGACTCTCAACCACTGCGCCACCAGGGAAGCCCTCTAAATTTTATTTTTCAAGAAGAACAGGTGAAAGGAAGAAATAAAAACCTTAGAAGGGTGCCTAATTACAAGAATTTTCATGTTTTCACTTAAAGACAAGAACAGATCAGAGTTAATGACCCCAAACCAAGATCAAACAACTCTGGGATAAGACTGAACCTGATTATAAAATGAATTGTTGAAAGAAGGTAATTAAGTAAGCAGAGAAAATTCTCAGACTTAGTCTGGAATAAATTGAGCTTAAAATTTATTTTTTTGAGCTAATTACTTTCAAATGATTCGCTCAGCTAAAGCAGAGCACTTCTGTATGAATATAAACTGATCATTCTGAAAGGATGATAGTAAGGATATTCTTTGTTATGTGTGTATTGGTATAGTTAGTATATAAATATTTATTAAATTAAATTTATAATTAACCATAACTTAACTATTTCCTAAAATTGGTTATTAATTAAAGAATTTAATAAAACATTGTAGCATGGTAAATTGCAAAGAATAAAATTGAGAAATAACACTATACTTTTTAAATAAATAACTTTTGAATCATATTTCTTTTTCTGACTGCAGAGCAGAAAGATACTTTTCTTTATTTCTTTTTGATTTATTTAATTTTTGTTTTGTTTTTGGTGACTAGATAGGGTTTCTAATGTCCTAGGGAAAATAAGAATTAGTCATTTAAGACAATAAAAATAGCATGGCTTCTACTCAGAGAGGGTCCCCAAGTAATCATTCCTGCACAATACCATTTCTTCAAGGTAGCAAGAGTACTGTAATTGACAATTTGGGTATGGAATTATTATGTACTTGTAACAGTCCATGGCCTATTATCATGTGATATCTCCTGCTGCTTTGTAATTAGTTCTGTGCGTTGTTTGGACAAGTGGCTGTGTACTTCATGGACTGTTCACCAGGTAGAACATAACGGCTCCTTGGGAACCAATTAGCTGGGCCTGTCAAGGCCAATTTCAGCAATTTTAGTTTGTGGATTATAAGCCAAAAAGCCATAATTGTGACAAACATATAGAGTAGTTTATGTGCTAATAAGTAATATCCGCTTTGACAATACAAATTCTTCCCTATTTATGTTTATTTCTTATTATAACAAAGAATCATTGCTTAGAATTGTCTATGATTCTTAAATTGCTGGAGTGTTCAGCCAACAATGAGTAATAACTAACAATTCTTATTTTCAGGATAGATTCTTAATTTTTAATGAAAATAAAAGAGCAAAAGGAAGTGAGGCCTGTAGGTCCTTTTACAAAGGTAATAATAATACTTGGTAGGATATATTAAAAGAGCTTCTATAAGGATTAAATTGATCATAAAGCAACAGACACAAAAATGTCATGTTTCATAATATATTTTTGCTGTTTTGCTGTTTTTATTTCAGAACTAGCATTTTGCACAAGTTCAGGGACTTTCTATGTGAATGGCAAGCCTACATTTTGCACAAGGTTGCATTAGTTGATTCTACTGTAATTTTATATATAAAACAAGTATTTTTATCAACCCCTTTCTTTAACAGTAAGGAACTGATCTATGAATGTTCCCTGTCTCCTTATATTACAAATGGAGAGAGGATATAGTTGAAAACCAGACTCCACTCTATTCTTAATCAGAATATTTTAATGTGGATTAAGAGATGCTACAGGGGGGTAGGCAGCACCAAAAACTCCTTTAACAAAAAAATCACTGCATTTAAAATTTCCAGTATTAGAACATTTTATGTAATAAAGCATTGTCTTATAATGTTGCTGATGAAGGCAAATACGCCAGGAAAGATAGTGCAAAGGAAATTTCTTAAAGATATTTGTTACATATTTTAAAAGAAAATGGGTTAGTCTAAACTGTTGACTAATTAATATGTGAAGTCCAGCTTTATCACTGAAGTTAGAAATGAGAACTCTCTTTCCTTGTCAAAAATAAACCAGGCACTGACGTGCCCTGATGTTATACACATTTACATATAGAATAGTAAAAATGTAGGTTTTGTTACATCACCCATTTGGTAAATTACTGAAAAAATTGTGCAAATTACTATACTTTCATATTTATCATCTTATCTAGCTAAGAAGATTCTTGGAATAATTTGCTTACTGTAAATTTCTGCATATAAGACATTGTATTTGTTCAACCATCTATATACTACATAGCCAGACAGAATGGGTGATTTTGACAAAGTCATATATTTTTCCATTTTTCTTTAAAATAAATATGTACATAGTACCATGAATTTCATAAAATTCATTAGTGACCGCCTAACATTCTTTTGGATGGGAATGAAGGAAAAATTCCAAAAATTTTTCTCAATTACTTCACTCTTGCATTTCCTAAATAATAAGTTTTAAAAAAAGTTAGAATGTAGTAGTATTATATCTAGAATACAGTTTTTAATCTACTAAGGTTACTATAAACAAAATAGAGAGAACAGTACAAGTATGGGTCAGTCCTGTAAATTTTATTATGTTTGTAAAATTCTGTTTGGAATTAGATGGATACAAGTTATGAAAGCTTGCTCATTACTCTTTAAACAAGGTACATACACACACACACACACACACACACACACACACACACACACACCCATACACACGCACAGATGGGAAATTTAAATAGCTCTTTGTTAAAGATAACAGATTTGCTATTAATGACTATTGGTAACATCTGTCAAACATTGGAGAAGGAGAAAACATTCTCACACAAACATTCATACATACCTTTGACGCAGCCATCAAAACCCAGAGTTCACAATGTCATCACTGGAAAAGAAAATGACATCCCAATATTTCTCATGAACAGACATGCAAAAATTATTAACAAAACCTTATCAAATTTAAATTTTTAAAAATCCAGACACTGCAAAATTTCCTTCGTGCCTCCCTGCTTCACATCAATCTTCATACTAGATAAGAGTCACGTTCTAATTTCTAGCACTACCAATTAGTTTTGACTATTCTTGAAATTCATATTAATAGAATTGTACAATAGGTACTATTTTGCATCCTTTACTCAGCACTCCTTTCTTTGTAAGGTCATCTGTGTTGTTGAATGTACCTGGATTTGTTAGCCCTCTAAAGCAGAGAACTCATTTAAGCTGTGCCCAGAATTCCGACCTTTAGAACTGTGAGATAATAAATTTAGGCTATTTAAACTTCTGTTTGTGATAATTTGTTATGCAGCATAGAATACTAATATAATAATAACCTTCAATTACTAATTTAAAATGTATTTAAAAGATGATTGACGCTATTAAAATGATCATTGTTTTTTTTTTTTCCTTGCTAAAACATTTATTAGGTAGGGTGTTTTGAGCTCCAAGAAATAGAAATGTGATTCATATTAGATCAGGCAATAAGGAATCCCACTGGCTCACGTCACTGAAAGTACAGTGGTAGTTTGAAATTCATGCACAACTTCATCACGGTAGCTCTCTTGGCTCTATTTTCTTAGTCTGGATTCTTCCCCTTGTGCTTTTAGATGGCTGCGGTACCAGCCAGGGTTCCAAGATTCCTGATTCATCTAAAGTGTTCTATCTTAATAGTAAGTATGCTTTCCATCCTGAAGCCACTGATAAACCTCTTCTTCCTTTCACAGAATCAAATTTGCTTGGGCTTTTCCATCTATGTATCAAAAGAGTAAAAGACATGGGATGACCATGATTGCTGAAGGCTGATTGGTACCCACTTCTGGAGCTGGTGGTTTTTTTCCCCAGACATATTTATTGCTGCACAGTGGGGGAGGGTGAAATGAACTTGGGAGATTATATACAATGTCTCCTACAAATATTCCCTAACAGTGCCCCATATACTACAAAATAAAGTCCAAACACTTAGCATGCCATTCTTAACCATTCACAATATGACCCCTACTTGGTCCTTTAACTTTATCTTCCTCATCTCAACTCCTTTCTCTTATTTCTTCCACACAGTTCTCTTCCATTGCTATCCTACTAATTTACAATGCAGAGCACCTGTGTTGTCCTATGTTGAACAATACAGGTCCCCTCTGCCTTCTCTAGACACCATTTCCATGTCTGCTACCAAATTAACTCTTAAAAAAAATATGAATGGTTTTATTGAAATGCTTATAGAGAATGATTAGATAATCATTTACAAGAAGTCATTTTAAAAATGCTTTTCCACGTTTGTTAAAAAAAAAAGTTGTCTGTATTTTCTTTTGCACTTACCTTCAAATCTAGATTTTAATTTTAATTTTTTAACTTAAATATTTATTTTAGAGTATATTTAGACTCAGAAATTTTGAGAAGATAGTACAAAGAGATTCTATATATTCTGGGTTTCTGCTATTATTATTTTTTATTGTGGTAAAAAATATAAAATGTACCATCTTAATAATTTTAAAGTATACAGTTTAGTAGTGTTAACAATATTCACATTGTTGTACAGCAGATCTCTAGAACCTTTTCATCTTGCAAAATTGAAATTCCATAATCATTGAACAACTTTCCACTCCCTCTTTCACCAGGCCCTGGCAACCATCCTACTTTCTGTGTCTGTGAGTTTGAGAACTTTAGATAGTATAAGTGGAAAAATACAGTATTCATCTTTCAGGAACTGGCTCCTTTGACTTAGCCTAATACTCTCAAGGTTCATCCACACTGTTGCATAGGGCAGGATTTCCTTTTTTTAAAGGCTCAATAATATTCCATTGTATGCATACGCCACATTTTCGTTATCCATTTATATGTGGATGGATGTTAAGTTGTTTTCATATCTTGGCTTTTGTGAATGATGCTGCAATGAGCATGGGAGTGCAAATATATCTCTGAGATCCTAATTTCAATTCTTTTGGATATATATGCAGAAGTGGGATTGCTGGATCATATGATAGTTCTATTTTTAATTTTTTGAGGAACCTCCATACTCTTTTCCATTGCAGATCCACCATTCCACATTCCTACCAGCAAAGTACTTAGATTCCAATTTCTCCACATCCTTACAAATACTTGCTATCCTTTTTGTTTTCTAAATAATCATTATCATAACAGAGATGAGATGATATCTCATTGTGCTTTGGACTTGTATTTCACTGATTGTTAGTGATGCTGAACATCTTTTTACATACCTATTTTCCATTTGTTTGTCTTCTTTGGAGACATGCCAAAGTCCTTTGCCCATTTTAAATTGGATTGTTATTACTATTACGCTTATTATCATTGTTGAGTTGTAGGAGTTTTTTCTCTATTTTGAATAAAAGCCCCTTATCAGATATATAATTTGAAAATATTTTCTTCCATTTCATAGGTTACTTTTTCAATCTGTTGATTGTTTCTTTGATGCTTAAAGTTTAAAGTTTGTAGTTCATTTGTCTATTTTTGCTTTTGTTGCCTGTGATTTTGGTGAATTTATGGGAGAAAAAAAAGCATTCACATATTTTTCCAATTTATGCAAATGGTATAATGTTACTTGAAGGTATTTTATAATAAATTAAAGACACATGTTGTAAAGTCTAGCATCACCACAGGAAAAATAAGATCAAACAATGAAGAACAGCTACGAAGTCAATTATGTACATATAGTGGAATACCAAATTATTTTTTAAAAAGTTAATCCAAAAGGAGGCAGGAAAAGAGGAAAATATTTTAAAGAGAACATACTAAGATGATGAGTCTGAACTTAAATGCACCAAAAATTGAAGTTAATATAAATGATACAAATAACCCAAGTAAAAAACAGACTGTCAGACTGGATTGAAAAGGAAACCTAAGCTACTATATGGTGTCTACAGAAACAAAATTTAAATATACAGATTCAGATAGGTTAAAATAGGAGAAAATATATCCTATGCAACATTAATACAAAGAAAGCCTTAATAATTATGTTAATATCAAAGTAGAACTCAAAGAATAATAGCAGGGATAAAGAGGGACATTGCACTGTAATAAAAGATCAATTTATCAAGAAGACACTACAGTCCTAAATGTATATGCATCCAATTGCAATCTCAAAATACACAAAACAAAATCTGGTATAACTGAAAAAAAGCAATAGATAAATGCTCAATTATAGTTGAAGATCTCTCCATTCTTCTCTCAGCTTTTATTAAAACAATTAGACAAGAAAATCAGTAAGCATATAGAATACTAGCACAAATTATCAATCAACTTAACCTAATTGACATTTTTAGAACATTCTGTTCAACAGCAAGAGAATACACAGCCCATTCAAATACACATAAGACACAACAAGATAAAACATATTCTAACCAATGAAACAAGTTTCCATGAATTTAAAATAATTTAGAACATAGAGTATATCTCTTCTGACTACAGTAAAATTAGAGACTAGATAAAAGCAAGATACCTGGAAAATTTCCAAGTGTGTGGAAATTTATAACACAGTTTGTATATAACAACACATAGATCAAAAGAAAAATGACAGTTGGCAGATGGAATAATCATTATTCAGGACCTGTGGTAGTATTTCAACAGTTTTAATGTAGAGTAAATTTAAGTTCTAATATCATCTTTGATAACAAAATTCTGAAAGAAGAAGTTAGGGATAATTTTTTAAATTATATGCAATGATAGAATAAGGAATGCTAGAATAAAGAGTCATGAAAGTTTGAGACAGGAACAGTTAACTCTTGGCTTAGAAATTCTAAGTCACACAGTATTTTCTAAGTCTTTGAGGTATAGTGCATTTGATTTTGAGTGACAGCTAAAGTGTTTTAATATTGTAACTTTGTCTTTTTAATATTGTAACTCTGTCTTTAATATTGTAACTCTTTATTTGAGGTTAGGTTTTTATTTGTACTTTTATAAGTTGAGATAGCTCTATATTTTAATTTTTTGTTAGGAAATTTGTGTAAAACTAAATTTATGACATTTAACATACAATGCCATGGAAAATATGTTTTGTATTTTTTAATTTCAGAAAATAAGTGAACATTCTTGTATTTTTTTATTCTGTGAAGTTATATGATGTTAGTTATCACAAATTTAAAGTAATACAATTTTTATTTTGTGGACCTTTACTTCTCTTATGACTAAGCAGATAGTTTTTAGGGAAAATATATATCTATTGTAAAAATATTTTTTTAAAGGTATGTTCCATATTAGTTGATGACAAGAAGAATGTAATTTTTGTAAGTCATTAAAAAAAATACACACAACTGGTACTCAAGTATACTGACAACAATTGAACAATCACCTGGCATGTGCACCTTGACCCAGGTCATTTCTAACACCCTATCATCTGGCCCTTAAGATTTCTAGGTATCACTTCTGATGTTGAAATTTGGTAGTTTTTAATATTTTAAAACATATTGTTAACAGATGATACTATTCTAAATATGCATATGTGAATTAGAATTAATTCTAAAAGCTGATACAAAGTACCATTAAGCGGTATATGTTTATTACTTATGATCTTTAAAGCTTGGATCATATTGAGCAGTTGTTATACAGCCATACAATTTGCTAGTTATCTATTTAGAAGAATCACAACGTATCGATTGAACTCTATATGAGTAAATAAATTAGATCTTGAATTCGTGATATACTCATTAGTCTTTGATATCTTTTTGGTTTTATTAAACATACCTTACTCATTTTACTGACCAGGTTTCATTAATTTCACTAACTTTTTCCTTTTTGTTTTTGAATGCTTATGAACAAATTTGGTATTACAGTCTGTTAATTAACCAGAAAAACATATCAGGAACACCACTAGTAGATTTATATCAGTGGTACTTGGTCTTTTCTATTGATTTAGGTTTACTTTTTTTTTTTTTTTTT